TTTAAAAAACAAATAGCATCTGATTTATTCAGTCAGCCTCCATCCATTGAATAATTTGCGAAGCTCTACAAAGTGTGAAGAACAAGGTGAAGGGGCAAAACGTTTGTTGTTTAGCAAAATTTGGCCATTGACAATGAACAGTTCTGCAATAGGTTACATAAAAAAAATGTAACATATTGAGGTGCTGTACATTTTAAACTTTAGTAGTACAACAAATTACTATTATATTTAGATATTTACATGATTATAGAATAGGAAGGATGATGTGCAAAGTGAAGCAAAAAAATGCAGAGTGTCGAAGACGTGGGGTTTGTGAAATATGTTTGTCTACTCCGAGGAGGGTAAAGCTCACTTTGAACCGGACCCTGTCAACTAAGGGTGTTCTCTTGTCCCCTCGCTCAGATCAGAGCCTTCTTTTCCCCATCCCCCTCTTTCTTTCTGCCTTTCCCCAAATCCCCCTTCCCTCTTTTTTCTTGCTTCCCTCTGTTCTAGCTCCCTCTTTCTTATCCGTCTTGCTTCGCTATTAGTTTAAATTTTAGAATATATCCTAAAATGACTGTGAGGCAGTACCTGTTCCCCCTCTCCCAGGGACTTACAGTTCCATGCTTTGCAGATATAAAATTCTGGTGGTTTGGGTCCTGCGCGCAGACCCTCTCTGATGATATACTTACCTATCGGGCTTTAATGTCTCTTTTTAGTAGGATGTGATTGCTGGACTGGTACATTGGCCCGGATGGGCTCACTGTAGATGTTTCATCTTGTCTTTTGCCCTGTATATCCTGATGTTACACTGATTCTAACCTTTGTATCTGGATACATTTCTCTTAACTGTTATGGCTGCTGCCAATAAACATAAATTTGTAAAAAAAAAATGCAGAGTGTAGTGACCCACAGCGTGAGGTGTGCAAAGTGCAATAACCCACAGGACAATTGTGTGTATAGTGCAGTAAACCACAGCATGAGTATGCCAAATGCAAGAACCCACAGCATATGATGTCCAAACTGCAAGAACCCACAGCATTAAGATGTCCAAACTGCAAGAACCCACAGCATTAAGATGTCCAAACTGCAAGAACCCACAGCATTAAGATGTCCAAACTGCAAGAACCCACAGCATTAAGATGTCCAAACTGCAAGAACACCACAGCATTAAGATGTCCAAACTGCAATAAACACAGCATTAAGGTGTGCATTACAGCATTAAGGTGTGCAAACTGCAATAACACACAGCATTAAGGTGTGCAAAGTGAAATAACCCACAGCATGATGGTGTTTGAAATGCAATAACCCAAAGCATTCAAGTGTGTAAAGTGCAATAACCCAAAGTATGATGATGTGCAAAGTGCAATATCCCACAACATGAAGGTGGGCAAGGTGCAATAACCCACAGCATGATGGTGCGCAAAGTGCAGTAACACACAGCATGATGGTGCACAAAGTGCAATAATCCATAGCATGCAAAATGCAGTAATGTACAGCATGATGGTGTACAAAGTGCAGTAAACCACACCATAGTGACATGCAAAGTAATCCACAGACTGATGATGTGCAGAGTGAAGTAACCCATAACATGATGTATGAAGTGATGTTATGCACAGCAGGGTGCAATTCAAGGTCCAGTAGCCTACAGCACACTGGTGTGCAAAGTCTAGTAACCTACAGCATGATGACATATGTGCAAAGTGTAATGACTTACAGCAAGAAGGTGTGCAATGTGCAGTAACCCACAGCATGATGATGTATGGTCAAAGTACAATAACCCACAGCACACTGGTGTGCAAACTGCAGTAACCTACAGCATGATGACATATGTGCAAAGTGTAATAACCTACAGCAGGATGGTGTGCAAAGTGCAGCAACCCACAGTATGATGATGTATGTTCAAAGTACAATAACCCACAGCATGATGGTGTACAAAGTGCAATAAACCACAGCATGATGGTGTGCAAAGTACAATAACCCGCAGTATGATGGTGTGCAAAGTGCAGTAACCCACAGCATGATGGTGTGCAAAGTGCAAGAACTCACAACACAATGACGTATGTGCAAAGTGCAGTAACCCGCAGCATGATGGTGTGCAAAGTGCAGTAACCCGCACATGATGGTGTGCAAAGTGCAGTAACCCCGCAGCATGATGGTGTGCAAAGTGCACCCGCAGCATGATGGTGTGCAAAGTGCAGTAACCCGCAGCATGATGGGTGCAAAGTGCAAAGTGCAGTGCAGTAACCCGCAGCATGATGGTGTGCAAAGTGCAGTAACCCGCAGCATGATGGTGCAAAGTGCAAAGTACAATAAGTACAATAACCCACAGCATGATGGTGTGCAAAGTGCAGTAACACGCAGCATGATGGTGTGCAAAGTACAATAACCCGCAGCATAATGGTGGTGTGCAAAGTGCAGTAACCCACAGCATGATGGTGTGTACAAAGTACAATACAGTGACAAAAGTGCATAACCCACAGCATGATGATGGTGTGCAAAGTGCAGTGCAAAGTGCAGTAACCCGCAGCATGATGGTGTGCAAAGTGCAGTAACCCGCAGCATGATGGTGTGCAATGAGTGCAAAGTGTAACACGCAGCATGATGGTGTGCAAAGTGCAGTAACACGCAGCATGATGGTGTGCAAAGTGCAGTAACACGCAGCATGATGGTGTGCAAAGTGCAGTAACCCGCAGCATGATGGTGTGCAAAGTGCAGTAACCCGCAGCATGATGCAAAGTGCAGTAACCCGGCATGATGGTGTGCAAAGTGTAAGAACTCACAACACAATGACGTATGTGCAAAGTGCAGTAGCATAATGGTTTGCAAAGTTCAGTTTGTCCCACAGTATCAAAAGCAGAATATTTTAACAGTGAAAACTATATAAAAAAAAAAAAAGTGACGTTGTGGTTAACTACACTTTCCATTTTTAAAAATGTCTGTATATGTGAGTTTAGTGCTAAAAGTCATATAAAAGTAATGCGATAGGTGTTGTACAGCCAAATAGTGACGATTCCACACCCTCTTCTCTGTATACACAGTAAGATGCATGGGATTCTGGTAAATCAGCTAACAGTTCCTGTATAACAGTTATTCAGGGATAATGTAAGAATGGAAATGTGTTAAACCTTTTCAATGCCTTTCATGCTGAGCAGTGGATGTCATAAGCCTAAAGTTAAAAGCAGCAGTGCAATGTGGAAGTGTTATGTGAACAGAAGGAGGCATCTCATGGGTGTGACACTCTCAGCATCACCTGCACCTTCTCACCTGATGTCCATCTTCTATCAGCAGCAGGTGTATAGCAGAGGGAGGATCACCGCTTCACACCTGATCAGAAAGAAATCTTCTTTGGGAGTCACTCCCACCTGAACTTCTGCATCCAAAATCCTCATCTCCCTCCTCGCTGCATTCCTGTCATGCGCCTATAGACTGCTTGAGAACAGATTTGCTTTTATTCTCAGCTTGAAGTTTCCATAGTTACTACTGACACACCCGCTCCTCTTAAAGAGACAATACGGTGATCAGCAGCAGAGACTAATTATGATACTGGGGCTCGCTTCCCTCTACAGATCGGAGCTCGGCAGAGTTGTTGGTGACAATAAAATAAATTAAATGGAATATTTTGTTCAATAAGCAGTAAAAAAAAATAAACCTATGGCCATACATTGAAAAGTTATCCTCAGAAAAGTGTCACTTTGGGTTTCCTTTATTAAACAGCCGCATACAACCAAGTGGGTGTTCAGATCTTGAGCATTGCTTGTGATTGCTGAAAACCATTTTTGATGTCCTAGAGACAGTTAAAGGTGCTTAAAGTAGATTTTTTCAGTTTGTTGGAACATACTGCATAGCAACATTTTGCTTCCAGAACCCTTTTTGATTTATCTGTATTTTTGGCTTCTAATCATGGAAATAACTTATAATTTAACCTATTACGTACCATCTTATAGAAATCTTCTGTTTTTTCCAATTTGCAATACCTGTTGGCTATGCTGCACACATAAAAGAAACATGCGAAAACATGGAACTGTTGTTGAAGCACATCCAGTACACCAAGTACAACTTGAACATCCATGAAGATCTAATATTAGTGGCTCTGATGCTTGGATTGCATCCTGGATATACTAAGTATTGATGTTACATTTGCAAATAGGGCAGCTGTGCCAAAGAGTCATATTCTATTAATAAGAAACGACCACATCAAGGGTCACATCAACGGCCACATCCCGCATCAAGGGTCCTCTGTTTTCTGTGGACCTAAATTTTGTGGCTTACGCATGTATTTGCAAATGTGTGAAAACAAAACCCTCTGCTTTTAATGCAAACTGTTAGACAGGGACAAATTGGTTGTTTTGCAGGCTGTCTGGTAAGTGTTGCTGGGAAATCCTTTGCTTGTTTGTGATGTGCATTGCCCTTCCATGTGCACCTTACTGGTAAGGCTGGTTATAGGTTTGGACAGTTGCCATTTTTTGTGCAGTTGGGTAATTTGGATGCAGGGATGCACTGGATGCCTTTGCATCCCTCCTTTAACCACCTCCCGCCCGCCACATAGTATAATGACAGGAGCAAGGTGGGTCTCTCGTTCTGGGAGGACGTCATATGACGTCCTCCCATTCTCACTGCGCACACCGGATCACCGAACTACGGAAAGAGCCGAAGATGTTGACTCGGTCATGTGATCAGCTGTGTCCAAATCACAGCTGATCACATGTAAACAGGGAAATGCCGGTTATCAGCATTTCTCTCCTCACGAGCTGTCACGCTGACAGCTCGAGAGGAGAAGAGAGCCGGTAATTGGCATTCCGCGGAGGGGATATGTACACTGATCATCAGGGCACTGATGATCAGTGTGCCCTGATGATCAGTGTGGCCCCAGAAGTGCCACCTGTCAGTGTCCATAAGTGCCAGCTGTCAGTGCTGAACAGTGCCACGTGCCAGTCCCCATCAGTGCCACATAAATGCCACATATCAGTGCCTACCAGTGCACATCAATGCCACATATCAGTGCTCATCTGAGCTGCCTTTCAGTGTCACCCATCAGTGCCACCTATCAATGCCAGTCAGTGCCACCTATCAGTGCTGCCAATCAGTGCCACCTATCAGTGCCAGTCAGTGCCTCCTATCAGTGTGCTTCAGTGCCAGTCAGTGCCGCCTAACAGTTCCAGTCAGTGCCACCTCACAGTGCCAGTCAGTGCCGCTATCAGTGCCATATATCAGTGCCGCATTTCAGTGCCATATATCAGTGATGCCTTTCAATGCCCATCAGTGCCACCTACCAATGCCTCCTCCTCATCAGTGCCACCTATCAGTGTCCTCATCAGTGCAGCCTATCAGTGCCCATCACTGCAGCCTCATTAGCGCACATTAGTGAAGGAGAAAAAATCACTTCTTTACAAAATTTTATAACAAAAACTAAGAAAAAATTTTTTTTTTTACAAAATTTTTCAGTGGTTTTTTGGTTTGTTTAAGAAAAAATAAAAAACCCAGAGGTGATTAAAGACTACCAAAATAAAGCTCTATCTGTCACAAAAAAATGATAAAAATGTAATATGGGTACAGTGTTGCATGACTGCGCAATTGTCATTCAAAGTGTGACAGCGCTGAGAGCTGGAAATTGGCCTGGGCATAATTGGCCTAGGCAAGTGGTTAAGGAGCGATGGGCTCCTCCAGGCACACCTTCCCTTAACCTATCCTTTGATATATGCGCTCCTACTATGGAGGCCCTGGAAATTTTAGAGTTAGGTACACAGTATACAGAGGTTCCTTGAAGCGGGACTGTGGCCTACACATGTATTTGCAAGTGTGTGCAAACAAAACCCTCTGTTTTTAACGCAAACTGTTAGACAGGGACAAATTGGTTGTTTTGCAGGCTGGCTGGTAAGTGTTGCTGGGAAATCTTTTGTTTGTTTGTGATGAGCACCACTATCAACCTTATGTGAAGGATGAATGTGTCCATCACCTGCCACTCAGGTCTTGTGGATATCTCCCTTTTAATCATTATCTTTTTAATGATATGATCCATGTGGGAAGAGATGTAGCAGCCTTAGTGGCTGAATACTTGCGGTCCCATGGTACTGTGGTGTCATATATCCCCTGAAAACCATCCGTGTGGGTCTTGTGAATTGCCAATGAGATCCTGTGAAAGACAGCTGAGCGCGTCCAGAGTGTGGAATGGTGGTATAACAACAAGTGCTTTTTGCCTCCTTGCAATATAGGGGTCATATTAGAGGGTAAGGAGTTTGACTATATCTTCTGGTGGTGGTGGCTGGATTGATTTGGTCACATCCTGGCACAAGAGAATTTGGATCTTTTGTTTTCACAAGCACTTTTGTGCACATTTTATCACTTATTATTTTTAATATAAAGAGGACTTTTTGGGGGGACTTTATTTCAAACATAAATTGGTGTATCATAGATTTAAAGGGGCGTTACCTATCTTTGTGAACACTGAGCATAGTGCTTTTATACGTATGTATGCTTTTAGATTATTATCAATATCTGTATGTGGGTATTTATGTTGGCAGCTTTCCATTTACATATTTATTTAATTCTGAATTGTAATTTATAACACATTTTCACACATTGTGGGTAGGTCTTTGTGTTTATTAGCACAGAGTTTTTGGTTTTTAGGTAGCAGCTTTGCACCCCCCCCTCCCTTATCCATCTTTAACAGTGCTTTCAACTGACATGTTCATTGCTATCAACTTACACAACGTTGTAATTCCTGTACTGAGATGGCCCCATTAGGCACCAACTGCCTGCAAGTGCATCCTTCCTTGAGAAGTGACAGCTTTGACCACTTGCATTACCCCCTGGTTTACTGCAGGAGCTTGAAGGTTGTAGCAGTTCCCCCTGTACATCTATAAGGCTCCAGGCTTCTCTACATCTATAAGGCTCCAGGCTCCTGCCACATTTGCCATGTGGATTATGCGCCTCTACTGAGGGATAAATCTAACAAGCTAAACTATAGACAAAAGAAAAATGTTATTGATCGGTGTACCCACAACAAAGAACTAGAAGAGTTGGCCAGCAGAATCTATTTATACATGATCAGATTTAGTTTGAAATGCAGTGTATTTTTATTTAATTTTTTACAATTCCTGGAATAACATCAAACATGTTTGCTCCTGGGAAAAAAAACTGTGCTTTTTAAAAATACCCCATCATCATCATACTTCCAGGTTTGTGCATGATAAATACAGTCTTTTTTTTCATGTCCATGTGGATATTTATTGACAGACAGATATTAAGGGACAGGAAAAGAGGTATTTATATTCACTGTTAAGCAAACCAGTCAGATAATAAAGAAAATCAGTCTAAAGTTCCCTGAAGAGAAGTGGTATTATACTTACCTCTCCATCAGCCTGACTCCTACCTTCCTTCTGTTCCATGCACTGCAGCCTCTGCCAGTCTTTTCAACATTTGACACTTCTGGGAATGTCAGGTGCCTGCTTTCCCCACTGCACACTGTGGTTCCATCCTACTTTTTTAGAATGTGGTAGGGCCACATCAATTAAGCTATAATAGCATGTGTAGTGCTCTATGGCCCATTAAAGGCAGGAATGTGAGTGATGGGCTTAGCTACACCATATAAACAGCAAAGTGGCAGGTTTCAAAGACTTCTGGTTTTAGCATTTCCATATGCTCCTTGTCATCACTGCGTCTTATACATTGCTGGCGAAAATAGAATAGCATGTGGTCTGTAATGCCATATGTTTTCTTCCCTGTTAAACCTTTCCCCAGATTGCCTCATCTCCTAACATAATTGTTTACACGGAGTCTATAAGCACTGTACTGGAATCCCTAGCTAGAATAATGCTGCCCATAGATAGTACGGGGTGAGCATAAATAGTCTGACTACCTCAAGGCAGCAAGTCTTGGGGGCAGCGAAAAATGGCAAATCAATGTCAATGCTGAAACGAAAAGGGGGTTTAATAGTGGGCATCTGACACAAATATGGGATGAAAATATACAAATTAGCGAATTCAGAGATTTGAATGTATCTGAATTTCAGCATGGACATAGTAATGAATCTGAACAAATCTGAAAAATCCAGTTACTTGTCACGTTTAGTGGCGGTGCTTTTTTTTTTTATTCATGTGGGTCAACACTCATCGTGATTGACGTTGGATCTACTTCTGGAGACATTCAATTTTTTTTTTTTTTCCAATAACAAAAATCAAAAATTGTCTGTGTTTTTTTTTTACTTTTGATACTTTTTTGGAGAATGAGTAGGGGTACTCCCTACTCATTCACATGGGGGGGTAGGGTTTTGGGGGGCACCCTTTTTCCAGATTCCAATCAGCCCCCTGCCCGAAAACTAACACCACCACCCAGGGTTGTGAGGAAGAGGTCCTTGTTCCCATCAACATGGTAACAAGGTGCCCCATGTTGAGGGCATGTGGCCTGGTATGGTTCAGGAGGGGGGTGCTCACTCTTCCCCCCTTTTCCTGGCTTGCTTGGCTACATGCTTGGATAAGGGTCTGGTTTGGATTTTGGAGGGGGACCCCACTCCATTTTTTTTTAAACTTCAGCATGGGGTTCCTCCTAAAATCCATGCTAGAACCTAAGGGTTTGTTATGGATTTGGAGGGGGCACGCCTTTTTAAAAAAGTTTCACAATGGGGTTACCCTGAAAATCCTTACCAGACCTGAAGGACCTGGGATAGATTGGGGTGGACCCGTACGTTGTTTTTTTTAAACTTTTTTTAATCGGTCTTTCTTTTGTTTACATTCTAGGCTATTCCGAAAGAAACATACCAAATACTAAAGATATGAAACAAATTCCAAAAATTAATAGGGTCCATTAACAAACGCATTAACAAATGCATCTAAAACAAATTCTTCAGTTAATGAATGCATCCGAAAATTAAACAAAATAAAAAATTTCTATTTATTCATTTATGCAAAACCTTTATCCCAAAAAGTCCCAAAAACTGCTGATGCATCTTGACAATGCTGCTGTCCAAGGGTGGCTCCATTAATTCCTCCATAGAGTAGAGCCACACTGGACAGGAAGGATGTTACTGGTCATATCTCCAGGTGACAATAAAGCAAGAAAAAGAGTTCAGCCATCACATTTAAGGATTGGTAAACTGCTGTGCATAAAGGTTTTGTTTTTGGAGTTTAATACCATTTTAATAAGTACTCGTTGTTTGCCCTACATGGACAAAGCAGAGGTTGATCTTAAAGTGAATTTACAGCCCTACTGCCACTTTCAGTATTTTGTTTGGACCAAGCTGGCGCAAACAAATTATTTTCTATATTAATAGGTGCGGCCAGGCTGTTTAAACTGTGCTACATACCGTATCCAGCACTGTGTTCCGGGTGTAAGACAAGACCTTCCCGTCTCATATTTAGGAACACTACAGTGAGTGGTGCTCAGCCATTCATAGGAAGATTTGTATTCTGTAAATAAATACAAAGCTGCCTCTGATTGGCTGACCCGGTGAACAAGGCATCTCTGGCTTGGACAATCAGAGGAAGCTTTGTATTCATTGATAGAATACAAAGCTGTCTGTGAATGGTTGAGCGCAGCTCCGCACGACTCTTTTGTTCTGGGGATGAGATGAGAAGGTCTCATCTTACTCCTGGAATACAAGGCTGTACACTGTATGTAGCTGAGGATACATACAGCTTATAGAGCGTGCCCGGGGGGGGTGCACCTAATAGTGTAGGAAATAATTTGGGCCAGCTTGGCCCAAACAAACTAATTAAAGTCAAAATAAAGCTGTAGATCAGCTTTAATCCTGCCCATATACAGTGCATCCAGAAAGTATTCACAAAGCTTAAGTTTTGCCATATTTTGTTATGTTACAGCCTTATTCCAAAATGGATTAAATTCATTTATTCTCTCAACATTCTACAAACAATACCCCATAATAACAACGTGAAAGAAGTTCATTTTGAAATCTTTGCAATTTATTACAAATAAAAATGAAAAAAAAAAAAAACACATGTACATAAGTATTCACAGCCTTTGCTCAATACTTTGTTGAAGCACCTTTAGCACCAATTACATCCTCAAGTCATTTTGAGTATGATCCTACAAGCTTGGCACACCTATTTTTGGGTAATATCTCTCATTCTTCTTTGCAGTACCTCTCAAGCTCTTCAGGTTGGATGGGGAGCATCGGTGCACAGCCATTATCGGGATCTCTCCAGAGATGTTCAATTGGATTCAAGTCTGGGCTCTGGCTGGGCCACTCCAGGACATTCACAGAGTTGGCCTGTAGCCACTCCTTTGTTATGTGGGCTGTGTGCTTAGGGTCATTGTCCTGTTGAAAGATGAACTGTTGCCCCAGTCTAAGGTCCAGAGCGCTCTGGAACAGGTGTTCATCAAGGATGTCTCTGCACATTGCTGCATTCATCTTTCCTTCGATCCTGACCAGTCTCCAAATTCCTGCTGCTGAAAAATATCCCCTCAGCATGATGCTGCCACCACCATGCTTCACTGTAGGGATGGTATTGGCCAGGTGGTGAGCAGTGCCTGGTTTCCTCCAGATATGATGCTTGGCATTCAGGCCAAAGAGTTCAATCTTTGTTTCTCATGGTCTTAGAGTCCCTCAGGTGCCTTTTGGCAAACTTTTGGCTGACATTTGTCTTTTACTGAGGAGTGGCTTCTGTCTGGCCACTCTACCATACAGGCCTGATTGGTGGAGTACTGCAGAGATGGTTGTTCTTCTGGAAGGTTCTCCTCTCTCCACAGAGAAACACTGCATCTCTTTCAGAGTGACCATTGGCTGCTTGGTTACCTCCCTGGCTAAGGCCCCTTCTCCCTTGATTGCTCATTTTGGCAGGGTGGCCCGCTCTAGGAAGATTCCTGGTGGTTCCAAACTTCTTTCATTTACAGTTGACGGAGGCCACTGTGCTCATTGGCACCTTCAATGCTGCAGAAATTTTTCTGTACTCTTCCCCAGATCTGTGCCTTGATACAATCCTGTCTCTGAGGTCTACTGACAATTCCTTGACTTCATGGCTTGGTTTGTCCTCTGACATGCACTGTTAACTGTGGGACCTTATATAGACAGGTTTATGTCTTTCCTAATCATGTCCAATCAACTGAATTTCCCACAGGTGGACTCCAATCAAGTTGTGGAACCCTCTCAAGGATGGTCAGTGGGAACAGGATGCACCAGAGCTCAATTTTGAGTGTGATGACAAAGGCTGTGAATACTTATGTACATGTGTTTTTTTTTATTTTTATAAATTGCAAAGATTTCAAAACAACTTCTTTCATGTTGCCATTATGGGTTATTGTTTGTAGAATGTTGAGGGAAAAAATTAATTTAATCCATTTTGGAATAAGGCTGTAACATAACAAAATGTGGCAAAAGTTAAGCACTGTGAATACTGTCTGGATGCACTGTATATGTAAAACAAGGACTTTGGTTTCTAAGCTGTAGAATACCAGATGTGCAGTAGTTGTCATACACAGTAATGTTACAGTTACATGTGATCTGTTTGGGTATGGGCTGTCACCATATACACATGTAGCATTCACCCCCTAAATGGCCCGCTGATTTGGTCCTACAGTTCTTTCCAGATTTTTGCAGAGGCAGCCAGCCACACAGCAACAGTCACCCCGATTAGCTCAATGAACAGTCTAGGGGTATTTTCTTTTTGTTTTGGGGGTGACTTGGATAGTTATAAAGAATGGTATAGGATACTCCAGAACTATGTGCAAACGGGAGGACAAACTTACTATAGCTGTACTTCAAGAACAGAAGTCTTCTGCCTAACTCAGAACAAAATCCTCTTGTAAAAAGTAGTAGAGGCCAGAGGTATGTACCCATCAGGAGAGGAACTACTTGACTTTCAGGTTAAAGAACAGATCTCTCACAAGAACACTGAACAGGCTGACTGTATGAATCTCTCATGAGAGAAACTACATAGCTCAGGCTTAGCAAACAGTCTTTCACAAACTAGAGGGGACTGCTCAGTATGTACCCCTCATAAGAAGAATGTCGTGGCCCAGCAATCCCAATAGTGCACATTCACAAAACAGAAAATCCCAAGTCAGATCAGTACTCACAATGTCTTTTGGGTAACTGGATGCCTCCTTCTAATACGAGCAGAACAAGTTCCAGTGAGGGAGAGTGTCAGGGCTCCGGGGTGTGACCAGAGGTATGTGACTGACGCAGGGAAACGCAGGCTTCAGATAAGTTATAAACAATATAATTTATTAAAGACTAACAATACAAACATAAACGCAGTGCAATACTAAAACATAACACAGTGCAAACGAACCAAACCAAACCACCCACAGATAACAGTACATACAATTGCAAGCGTCGTTAGGCAGGCCGGGTCAATAACAATCGGGCAGGTAGGTACAGGGGGTCAGGCAGAGAATGGTTCGGGGGTCACAAGCCAGGGATGAAACAGGAGAAGTCAGCAGAGGTCCGGATCAGGCAGGGTCAGCAACGAATCAGTCAGACAGGAACAGGGATGCAGGAACAAGATACAGGGCCCAGGAAAAACACACACCAAGGCAGAGACTGCAGGTCTGGCTATCCGTTAAATACACCTGCATGATCAACTTCAGGTGTTTGGCTGGCTGCAGGGTTGAGTCTCTGATTGCCGGCCCTGGCCAGCCCTGGTACTGCAGCCCACAAGGCAGGTGGGTCCCACCATTACTGGCAAGTCCATTCCTGACAGTACCCCCCCTCAAGGAGCGGCCTCAGGACGCTCCAAACAGTCCTAGCTGGGCAAAATGTTCCACCGCCCGGGTCTGGTAACTGGCGGGATATCAAAGACTGGCACATCGGGCAGGACTCCGGGCAGCGGCACACCGGCAGGACTCCGGGCAGCGGCACACCGGGCAGAGGCACATCGAGCTGGACTCCGGGCAGCGGCACACCGGGCTGGACAGCGGATCACCAGGCGGAGCAGCAGGCACCGGGCCACCAGGAGGGGCGACAGGCATCGGGCCCCCAGGAGGGGCGACAGGCATCGGGCCCCCCAGGCGGGGCGACAGGCATCGGGCCCCCCAGGCGGGGCGACAGGCATCGGGCCCCCAGGCAGGCGACAGGCATCAGGCCCCCAGGCGGGGCGACAGGCATCGGGCCCCCCAGGGGGCGACAGGCATCGGACCCCCAGGAGGGGCGACAGCATCGGGCCCCCAGGCGGAGCGACAGGCATCGGGCCCCCAGGCTGAGCAGCGGGCCCCCAGGCGGAGCGGCGGGCGCCAGGCCCCCAGGCGGAGCGGCGGGCCCCCAGGCGGGGCGATAGGCATGGGCCCCCAGGCGGGGCGACAGGCATCGGGCCCCCAGGCGGAGCGGCGGGCGCCGGGCCCCCAGGCGGAGCGGCGGGCACCGGGCCCCCAGGCGGAGCGGCAGGCACCGGGCGGAGCGGCAGGCACCGGGCCCCCAGGCGGAGCGGCAGGCACCGGGCCCCCAGAGGAGCGGCAGGCACCGGGCCCCCAGGCGAGGGACAGGCACCGGGCCCCCAGGCGGGGCGATGGGGCATTGGGCCCCCAGGCGGGGCGATGGGCATCGCCGAGCCCCCAGGCGGGGCGGCGGGCGCCGAGCCCCCAGGCGGGGCGGGCGGGCGCCGAGCCCTCAGGCGGAGCGGCAGGCACCGGGCCCCCAGGAGGAGCGACGGGTGCCGGGCCCCCAGAGCAGAGCAGCGGGCACCGGGCCCCCAGGCGGGGCGATGGGCATCAGCCCCCAGGCGGGGCGGCGGGCGCCGAGCCCTCAGGCGGAGCGGCAGGCACCGGGCCCCCAGGAGGAGCGACGGGTGCCGGGCCCCCAGGCGGAGCAGCGGGCACCGGGCCCCCAGGCGGAGCGAGCGGCGGGCACCAGGCCCCCAGGCACGACAACGGGCATCGGGTCACCAGGCATCAGGTCATTTGGCTCGCCAGCGGGCACCGCGTCATCTGGCAAGGCAGTGGGCACCGAGTCACCAGGCACGACAGTGGGCACTGGGTCAGACATTGGATCGTCTGGCCCGACAGCGGGCATCGGGTCACCAGGCATGACAGCGGGCACTGGGTCATCAGGCATTGGATCGTCTGGCTCGACAGCGGGCATCGGGTCACCAGGTATGACAGTGGGCTCCGAGTCACCAGGCATGACCGCGGGCACTGGGTCAGACATTGGATCGTTTGGCTCGACAGCGGGCATCGGGTCACCAGGCATGACAGCGGGCACTGGGTCATCAGGCATTGGATCGTCTGGCTCGACAGCGGGCATCGGGTCACCAGGTATGACCGCGGGCACTGGGTCATCAGGCATTGGATCGTCTGGCTCGACAGCGGGCACTGGGTCATCAGGCGTGATAGGATCATCAGGCTGGATCAGTTCATCAGGCTGGGTACAGACATCAGGCTGGGGCTCAGCTGGGTACAGACATCAGGCTGAAGTGCGGGTGCCAAGGCACCAGGCTGAACCACGGAAGGCAGGTTCTCAGACGGCAGGCTCACCGGTTTGGATACTGGCAGGATGGTACTGGTTGGAAAGAATTTCCGCTTTTTTCTGGTTTTTTAACTACTGGGGCACTGCAAGTAAACGCAGGTCTGCAAACGAATGGAGCAGCTGAGGACAGAGAAGAGCTGGAAGATGGAACAGAGGAGGGAGCAGTTGCTACAGAGGACTTCTTTACAGGGTTAAAGAAAGGATAGGTGCAGCGAGTGTGAGCAGGGGACTGATATGTGGTAGTTAGAGTATACTGGGCAGTCACTGGGGGTGCTGTCCAGGATGCAGGAGTGCCTGCAGGGAGGAATGATGTTGTAAGCTGACTGAGGCTGGGTGCAACAAGTCTGACCATGTCTGCAGTATGGGTTGAACGAAGCTCAGTTTACACAAAGCCTGTCTGGTCAATGACTGCACTGCGTTTATACAATCTTAGTATCTGTGGTGAACATGCAGAGTACGCTCGCCAGAAAGTAATCCACATCATCCTCTAATAACCATACCAGGGACTCTACCTGGTCGGCACTAAATGGTGGCAAAAATTCATCCCTGCATTCGGGGGGGGTACCAGATGAAACCAACTCAGCACAAACCTGAATCCATGGCTGCACCTCAGAGAATTCTGTGCCCTGATCTACTAGAACATGAGCGATCCGTATACATTCTAGCAGTTCATCCCGGGGATACTCCTTCAGAGTTTGATAAGCATACTCTCTGTCATCAAACACTAGCAGATATAAATACACAACCTCATCCAGATCCATCCTTCCCAGCAACAAGCCAAGATGGCTTCCCTGTGCAGCCACTTCTGGTCAGGATTGGCCTTGGTGTAATGTCAGGGCTCCGGGGTGTGACCAGAGGTATGTGACTGACGCAGGGAAACGCAGGCTTCAGATAAGTTATAAACAATATAATTTATTAAAGACTAACAATACAAACATAAACGCAGTGCAATACTAAAACATAACACAGTGCAAACAAACCAAACCAACCACCCACAGATAACAGTACATACAATGCAAGCGTCGTCAGGCAGGCCGGGTCAATATCAATCGGGCAGGTAGGTACAGGGGGTCAGGCAGAGAATGGTCGGGGTCACAAGCCAGGGATGAAACAGGAGAAGTCAGCAGAGGTCCGGATCAGGCAGGGTCAGCAACGAATCAGTCAGACAGGGACAGGGATGCAGGAACAAGATACAGGGCCCAGGAAAACCACACACCAAGGCAGAGACTGCAGGTCTGGCCATCCCTTAAATACACCTGCATGATCAACTTCAGGTGTTTGGCTGGCTGCAGGGTTGAGTCTCTGATTGCCGGGAGCACCCGCTGGCCAGCCCTGGTACTGCAGCCCACAAGGCAGGTGGGTCCCACCATTACTGGCAAGTCCATTCCTGACAGAGAGTTTAACACTCAACATTCTCCAGCAATTCTTCTGATAGGATTCTTGATTAGAGACCAAAGTAACTCTAAAGAAGGACCCAAGTATGGGTCCCCCCCATCAAGTCCTAGCTGGCACCTTGATGAACAGCAGCTCAAAGTAACAGGTAGTCACCCCACCCCCACTTAAATAGATTAAATCCCTTAGCAGGAAGCCCATGCTGTTCTGCAATTCAGATTATTTTTACACTTTCCCAGCCACCATCTGGGCATCCCTTCCAGGGATTGGCTGAAACAGTATAAATATTCATGCTGGCCATTGCCTTGCTCTACAACTACAGTATGTTCCACAGCAAACCACAGTTTTCTAGAAGGCAGGGAAGAACATTAAAATGTGAAGCCTGTGAAAACCAGAACAATGCTCAACTGACTACAGAGAAGCCAAAAACTAAATTTATCTAACAATCTAGCAACCCATCTAGGAGGATGCTACACAAACTACAATGCAGCCCTAAAATTAATTTGTGTTTAAACCCACCAAACTTGCATTTATTCTGAAAAATGATTGTGAGGATTCATCCACTAGCTGTGTGTACTAGCAATAATAATAATAATAACATATGCAGCGCTAAAAAAGAGATGACACATAAATCATAAGTCTGATAAAATATGAATATGAATAAAATAAAATAAGTGGTGGCTAAAGTGCTTAAAGTGAAAACAACGTCCTCAGGTAATAGCTCAATTGTCCCAGTAAAAGGTACAAAAGTTGTCGACTCCGTGCTCAAAGGTGGGTAAATTTTATGCACTCACCAGAAAGCGCATAATGTGTGCATTTGAGTTGTCAGACCACTCCTGGTACTAGAAGGCTGAGGCAATGTGGGTCATCTAGCAGGCTGTCACTCTGGTAGGATGCTCCTTCCTCTAACCAGCAGGGGGATACCAGACATCCAGCAACGGTTGGCATAAAGCTAATCCAGACTCCTCAGACCAGGACACTCAAAAAAGATATCCACCTTGAGAAAGGGGGGGGGGGGCTCAACCAAACAGCCCACCCAAAAAAGCACATGCGCAGTGCACTCTCCTGTTTAGTAGTAAACCAACTGCTTCCTGTCTTAGAGTGTCTCCACTCTGGATCGAACAGCAACAGAAATGCCTTAGGACAGCAGCTCCTCCACGAGGGAAAATTGTGATCTGTGGTTTTAGAATTTACCATTGCGCATGTGCTTTTTTGGGTGGGCTGTTTGGTCGAGCCCCCCCCTTTTCAAGGTGGATATCTTTTTTGAGTGTCCTGGTCTGAGGAGTCTGGATTAGCTTTATGTAAAAAAAACAAAACCTCAGCGCTCAGGACTTCCTATTTACCATACAAAACCCCGTGAGATGCAGCTGTGCACAGGTACAAAGGACCAAAAACTTTTAACAATGAAAACCAGCGCAAACCCACATGATCAATTACATTACTCAGTGTAAAAAAACATAAATGTGCTAATAAAATTATATATAATAAATTATATATAAATTATGTTGATACAAAAATATATATATATAAAATTATGAGTCCAGTGAAAAAACAAAGTGACAAAAAATCAAGTGACAAAAAATCAGAGAAATCCCAGAAAATATATATATATATATATAATTAAAGTCCCGTGACAAAATTAATCAAATTAATTTATAATATATATATTTTCCATTTGATTCTTCCGTGTTACGGATCCCTTCACCATCCACCAGTGCAGAAATCAACATTAACCGCACTCACCAGATAATGGTGAGTCACACGCCTTTCAGGATTGTTAAGGGCTCCTGGACCCCCTTTACTTTCTCTGAGACCTCCAAGTGCTGTTTCCTCTCATGTCTAGGTACCTCTTCTGCTTACTCCTCTCACCGAATCCCCCAAAGGAAAATCAGGAAGAAGAAAAGACCATAGCGTGATACCGCAGTAACTTCTCCTTAAATTAATCTCTCCAGACCACTCACATTCTTTTGCGGGATATAGCCCGCTTTTTATTCAAAACAACAGCGATTCTCTTCAAAATTGATCCACTTTTCATGTACATCGATTATATAAGGATTATATAAGGACCCCACAGTTTAGTGTGCAGCAGGATGGCAGACCTCAGCTACAGACTCTTCTCCTTAGACTAAGATGGCCCTTTGAACGCACCGCTCGGCGTGCGCTCCACTCACCGGAAATGACGTCAGACGACGGACCAGGCAACCGGAAGTGCGTCAACCGCGTTTCGCCCCACCCACAGGGCGTTATCAAGACGCTCAATACCACTTCCCAGCCGCTTATAAAGCTTTGGGAGATCCCTCCCACTAATTCCTCTGGCACAAAAACCTGGATACAAGCATATCAATCACCACCATCCATCTGCACACCCAAGTGGGGTCCCTGTACATCGGAAGCCATTTCAAAAAATACATTACTTAAAAAATACATTGCTTCAAAAACATACTTTACTTAAAAAATATTCTTTAATATAAAAATAAATATAAAAATAAAAATAAAAATAAAAATAAAAAATAAAATATAATAAAATAAAAAAATTATAAAAATAAAAATAAATAAATATAAAAATAAAAATAAAAATAAAATTAAAATTAAAAATAAAAATAAAAATAAAAATAAAAATAAATATAAATAATAAATATAAAAATAAAAATAAAAATAAATAATAAATAATAATAAATAAAAAAAATAAAAAATAAATAAAAATAAACATAAACATAAAAATAAATAAAAATAAAATAAAAATAATTAAATTTTAATCATGAACACGCACTACGGACCTATAACTTGAATATCACCAATTCGACAAGAAACAATTTATATCAAAGGTTTTTCAATCCTGTTATAATGGAGGATCCCATAAGATCAATAAATTCATATCATGTGATAGTACGCATGTGACCTATTTGCTGGAGTGCCCCTGCAAGCTCCAGTATATAGGGAGAACAACTAGGAAACTTGCCACCAGATTGGGAGAACACATTAGGAACATAAAGAAGGGTTCAAACATCATAGTTTATCATACCATTTTAGAAGATATCATAATAGAGATCCGGCATCGTTGAAATTTTGTTATATATAGATAGAGTAGAAGTCCCATGGAGGGGAGGAAATATGGTAATAAATGTGTCCCAAAATGAAACGAAGTGGATTTACCAAATGGGTACATTGCATCCTAATGGGTTGAATGCAGATATTGATATAAATTGTTTCTTGTCGAATTGGTGATATTCAGTTATAGGTCCGTAGTGCGTGTTCATGATTAAATTTAATTATTTTTATTTTATTTTTATTTATTTTTATGTTTATGTTTATTTTTATTTATTTTTTATTTTTTATTTATTATTATTTATTATTTATTTTTATTTTTATTTTTATATTTATTATTTATTTTTATTTTTATTTTTATTTTTATTTTTATTTTTTTTTTTTAATTTTAATTTTATTTTTTATTTTTATTTTTATTTTTATTTTTATATTTATTTTTTTTTTATTTTTATATTTTT